GGTATTGTTAAACAGGATGAAGGACTCCGTAGACGCCCAACTTCGAGACCAACAGGTTGGATTCCGTAAGGATAGATCGTGCACAGACCAAATCGCGACTCTACGGATCATTGTGGAACAATCAATTGAATGGAATTCATCACTCTTCATCAACTTCATTGACTACGAAAAAGCATTTGATAGCGTGGACGGAACAACCCTATGGAAGCTTCTTCGACACTACGGCGTGCCTCAGAAGATAGTTAACATCATGCAGAATTCCCATGATGGATTAAACTGCAAAATGGTTCATGGAGGACAGTTGACAAAGTCGTTCGAAGTAAAGACCGGTGTCAGGCAAGGTTGCTTACTCTCACCCTTTCTCTTTCTCCTGGTGATCGACTGGATCATGAAGACATCAACATCTGAAGGGAAGCACGGGATACAGTGGATAGCTAGGGTGCAGTTGGAAGATCTAGACTTCGCAGATGATCTGGCTCTTCTATCGCACACACACAACAAGAAGTGCAGGAGAAGACGACCAGTTTAGCAGCAGACTCAGCAGCAGTAGGTCTCAACATACACAAACGGGAAAGCAAGATTCTCCGATACAACACAGCATGCACCAATCAAATCACAATTGACGGGGAAGATTTGGAAGTTGTAAAAGCCTTTACATATCTGAGCAACATCATTGATGAACACAGTGGATCTGATGCAGATGTGAAGGCACGGATCGGCAAAGCAAGAGCAACATATTTACAACTGAAGAACATCTGGAACTCAAAACAGCTGTCAACCAACACCAAGGTCAGGATTTTAAATACAAATGTGAAGACAGTTCTACTGTATGGGGCGGAAACCTGGAAAACCACGAAAGCCATCATCCAGAAGATACAGGTGCTTATTAACAGTTGTTTACGCAAAATACTTCGGATCCGTTGGCCAGACACTATCAGCAACAACCTACTGTGGGAGAGGACAAATCAGATCCCAGTGGAGGAAGAAATCAGGAAGAAGCGCTGGAAGTGGATAGGACACACATTGAGGAAAACACCCAACTACGTCACAAGACAAGCCCTTATATAGAATCCTCAAGGCCGAAGGAGGAGTGGAAGACCAAAGAACTCACTACTCCGGGAAATGGAGATAGATATGAGAAAAATGGACAAGAATTGGATGGAACTAGAAAAGAAGGCCCAGGACAGAGTGGGTTGAAGAATGCTGGTCGGCAGCCTATGCTCCATTAGGAGTAACAGGCATAAGTAAGTAAGTAAGACATTGAAGTATTCCTCTTGTGTTGAAAAGAATCCTACTAAATCTCTAAAACAAGAATAAGAAATTAAAATCAAAGTGTTTGGATAACTTGACTAATTAACTACTAAATAATGGCTTATGACATGTTGATCAAACTCTATCGATGAAGTCTCAATATAATTACTGGACAAAGAGGTTAAGTATAATCACTTTATTATAAACGGTTAATGACAGTCACCAGGAGCTTCAAGATCTAGTTTTTATGCTGGTTAATACTCACCGACTTGACATATCAGTAATCTTCAGGGAGTTTATATTCTTCAAAAAATCTCAAATTAACCGTATACTGAGTAGCATTCATTATCTGACTCGTTATTTATGCATTTAATACAATTATAAGGTCATCTTCACAAATAGTTTTCTTAAGAAAATATTATTTTCCTGAAATGTTTTCCACTTAAATTACTTTGAAACTAGACAATTGCTAACACTCAGGAACTTAAACAGAGCTCACTCCATAGTTATCTTATGGTGCTGACTATTTCTTGAAATAATTGACAGTGTTAAATTATGAAATTCATGAATGTTTATTAGTTGATTTTAAATAAATCTCAGTAATATATCAGTAATGTATATTGTAAGACTACAGTTGTAATTTGTTATTGAACTGTGGCTACTGATTTAAATATAAGCAAGTTACAATTACTCATGGTAATGGTTTAAAGCTCCCTTTCTAATATGAACATAGAACACTTTGGTATGTGAACATGATTTAAAGTCATTGAATAGATCTGGACATTTGAAAAGTAAATATCTCGGTAAGGTAGATATGAACCAATGGAATTAAGTATCCTACAGTCAGATTTAATTTATAACCCTCCCACCATTATTGCCTAATAATTTTTTGATTGATATCATGAATCGATCAATGTTAGACCACCATCGAAAGCATTGGATGGCCGTTTCATCTTAGTATGGCACTCCTCAGAAGTGCGCATCCATGAACCCGTACGCGAGATTCGAGCCCACGATCTTCGGTTTCGCGCGTGAACTCTTAACTTCTATATCACTGAGCCGGCATCCAATGGTGTTAATGTCTAACTTCAACCAATCCACGAAATTGCATCACCATCCTCAATTGTCTGAGGTAGGTACTTGTCTCTACCTGACACGGATAAGCTTCACTGGTCTTGGCTTCTCACTAGAACTCCGAGAATCACCTCTCGAAGCTAGTCAATCTTGTTATTTCCCAAAGGGATGGTCTATCATCAATACTTACGTTCATTGAAAGCCTAGCTTTACAGTAATTAAAACACATTTTAATTGTTTAAATATAATCTGCATTTATAATAAACCCATCTTAACAATAATGTACACTGCTGTGGAGTTCCATACTAGGACGAAACAGCGGTCCAATGCTTCTAAATTTTTAATGGTAATCTAACATCGATCGATTCATGATCTTAATCAAAAACTTAACAATCTCCATAACAACATACTGATACCTAATAATTGTTAGAAATCACTGCTGAGACCAGGTGAAATCAAAAATGAAATTATATTTAGTTCTTCTATGAAGCAAGGTCATTTGATGTATGTAATCATGTTAATATTAGTCTATTATTATTATTATTATTATTATTATTATTATTTAAAATACATCATTCACTGCTTTTTAAACAGGCAGCTCATTAATCAAAACAAATAAGAATACTAATCCTTAGAAATAAAAATAAGTCATGTCAAAATTATGACATATATATATATATATATATATATATATATATATATATATATAGGGTGTAATCTTATTATTTGTAAAAAAAACAATTAGTCTGACACTATTATTATTATTATTATTATTATTATTATTATTATTACTGTTATAACATGAGTTTTCACAATCTGTTTATTTTTGACATCTTTCAATTTACATATTAGATAATATATATATACCTAAAAAATTCCTTCTTTTTAAAAAAAATAACCCAAATTGTTTGTTGTTTTTCAAATTTCAAGATGATATAGTCTGTATTATACAAGAAATAATTTTATTGTTGTTGAGTAAATGGAGCAAATAAATGAAAACTTCTCTAGAGAATTAATAATCTACCTTCGTTTTTTTCGTTTTTTTTTCAAAAAAAAGCAAAGAACAATAAAATTAATTAAAAGAATAATTAGTCATTATTTATTTATTTTAACAAATTATAATGCCTAATGAACTAGGAAACTTTGAAATTGATCATCTCCATTTCTAAAAGTTAGGTAAATGTATTAATTCATGTGGATAGACATAAGGTATAAATTTTTTTTTCATTTCAATAGTTGAGATTATGAGTCAATTGAAGCTAGACTACCATGAAAAACTTGGAAGCACTGGACGGCCATGTCGTCCTATTGTGAGATTCCTCAGATGTGCTCATCCACGATCTCGCCTAGCGAGATTCGGACCCAGGACTTGTCATGGATGTGCACTACTGAGGAGTCCAACAATAGGACGAAACGGCCGTCCAGTGCTTCTAGGTTTTCCATGGTAGTCTAGCTTCAATTGACTCATGATCTCAACTATTGAAATTATAATATCCACAAAACCCCTTCTGATACTAATCAACATATGCTCACTAGTGACTGGCTTCATGAGTTATTTCCTGGAGTTCTAGTGAGAAGCAGTAACCAACGGAGTTCAACAGGGTTCTGTGGTGAGATAGTAACTCACCGAAGATAATGGCGGATGTGCCACTCAATTTCGTGGATTAGTTGGTTAAACATTAACACCGGTTGATATCGGCTCAGTAGTCTAGTGGTTAGGTGTTCGCGCGTGAGTCCGATAAGTCATGGGTCGGAATCTCGCGAGGCGGGATCGTGAACACACATTTCTGAAGTGTCCCACAGTAGGAAGAAACCGCCCTCCAATGCCTTCATGTATTCCATGATGGTCTGGCTTCAATAGACTCATGATATCAACTATTGAAATTCTATAATATCCACAAAAAACCCTTTCCTTTAATTGTTAAAATAATTTACAGTATGAATCCAATATAAACTGGAAAACTACGGAAGAGTACAATGCACATGTTTTTCGTCCTACTATGCGACTATTTGACAGTATTCATTCCAACGCCAGATTTTCAAGATTTCGGTTTTATTTTATTCCCAACTATCTCATTAAATTAACAGAGACTGGAATTTACTGTCTCATATTTAACAACATTTTCTTCTTGGTTGTTCAATATTCAAACCAAATCTTGACATAAACTTACTGTCCCAAATGCTAACTATTGCAGATTCATGACTAACTTTCTATAGCTTTAAAACCATTTCGATACTTATCAATTTTTTAAAGGAAATCTTTTTAAATTCATGAAATTATAAGCCACAAATGGTTTTTAACAAACTAAACTTTCGATTAATTTCAAAGTCAGATTTATCACCCCCATCAACTAGTTATGAATGGTTACTTCATTGATCTTGTAAATCGTTCTACAGGGACAAGAAACCGATTTTATGAAATCCCCCTTATAATTTATAACTACAATACCACGTATCACAATTTACGTTTTGTGTTTGAAGTAACAAAGTAATTATGTATTAGATTGCGTTTAATTCTGAGTATAAATGAGCTAATACATTTCCAAATGGAGAAATATCAATTTTACAATCTGAAAAGCTTTCATAAAAATAAATTGTTATACATTTTTTTAGTATAATCTGGATTAATACCTTCAATTAAATAAGGTTTCTTGAATTTCAATCCCTTATTAAAGGTATGGTTTAAAAATCGTAGAGCAAAATGGCGAAAACGTGAAAGACATCTAGATGTTGTATTACGTGGAACTATAACTAATCCTTTTGCGCCATTAATTCGTTCTGGAGTTGGGCATCCACCTAATGGATTTGTCAACCATCCAATATATGGAACAACTGGACAGAGTTTTCCATCAGCAAGACAAAATCAATTATCTAATACAATTTTAACATTATCACAACCACAAGTATCTTATTTTCAAAATTCCTCTACGAATAATTCGCGTAATCCTTATCCATTTGTATCTAATTTACCATGTGATAATATATTACCAAGTTTGATAAATAGAACTAGCCCGAATTCTCTAAATCAACCTTTTTCTGGTTTTACAAATGATAATCGGAGTGATACAGATGAGTTTCATAGCTATCATGCTGGCTTGCCGGGTACATATCCGCTTAAATCTATCAGCAATGGCAGTAACAATAATAATGATAATAATAATAATGTGTCAATCTATTCTACACCATACTGTATGTCACAGAATGAAACAAATTTACACATGGGATTACCGGTACGTTTACCTCATTCAACATGGATAACCAATTCCAATAATACTGATAATAATAGTAATTTACAATCCACAGATTTAAGTGCAGCAGCTTTTGCCGCATCAAACATGTTTAATACTTATTCATCAGTAATTCATGGAATCAATTCAACAAATCTACTTGGTTTCAATACAAAAAAAGATTCTAATAATTATCCTTCTTTTACTTCTTCATCAAATTCATTTTTATCTAATGAAACAATCAATCATACAGTTAATCCGCTATTAAGTTATTCAAATCACTTACAAAATACAGGTTTACGACCATTGGATGTATCATTCACTACTGAAAATACCGTCACTAACAGTAGTTGTCTTGAATCGACGTTATTTTCATCAGGAACACTGTCATCGATAGGAACAACATCAGTGACAGGATTGACAAGTATGCCTAATTGGCCATCTTTAAATAAGCCTATGAATTCAAATCAGTACATAGATGATTTTCCTTCAATAAAAATGAACACACGTATGGATGACGAAATCAAACTTCATTCAAAACAATTTTCACTTGATGATATAAATAGTTCATTGAAAACATTGAAAGATACTAAAGATTATATGAAAACGTCATTTACAAGTGAAAATAAACATTCTTTGCAACAAGTAATCAATTCCGATCATAATACTACTATTATAAGTAATATACATGATTCAGAATTAACTGACAGTATACATTTCGATAATTTTATTCATCCTTTTATCGTAAAAACTGAAACCTATTTTAATACAAATGAAAGTACTGAATCTATAGATTGTATTAATACAAATCGTAATTTTTCATCGTCACCAATCTCATCATCATCTTCATCCACAATACCTTCAGTATTCAATTCACTATCTACAAAGAAATATGATTACTTACAATTAATGACTTCATCACAATCAAATGAATTATTTTTTGATAGTACCAACTATCGTAAAGTAAATGGACAAAGTTTCAAATTAGAAGAACCATTATCTATAAACAAATCATTGATTCAATATCGTCCATATCGTCAACATATGCGTCATACACAACCACAATCATTTCAACACCAGATAAATGAACCTGTACTTATGATACCTGGTAGTACAAATAATTTTTCATTTCTACCGACTGCAGCTATGATGGCCGCAGCTGCTGCCGTAAAAATGAACACAGATGTATGTAATACTACAAATCTTAATGAATCAAAATCATTAGTACATATTATGTCAAAAACTTCTATTCCAGCTAATACAATGACTAACTCAACATTATCAGAACGGTATGCAAATTTAAGCCAATTGTCTACTATAGCAGACACAATTTTAACAGACGCTTCAAGAACAACAACAGCATCATCATCATCGAATATCATAAATGATAAACAATCTAACCATGGAAATTATCGAAATTCAATGTTGACACATTATGTTCTACCGCAAAGTAGTCATGAAACAAATCAATTAAATGAAATTAATCCAATTTCAAGTTCAAATATTTATCAATTCTATAATTAATATCCGAAAAAAAATAAGATAGAATATTGAAATGATTGAGAGGAAAAACATTTAAGTGATTTGAATATCTTCCAGCTACTTTTTTCAAAAAAACTAATTCTTTCTTTCTGTACTATATCCTTAAACATAATCTTTCTTTTATATATTACTATCATTGAAGTAACCACTTCCATGAATTCGGTGTTTATTCTGTTGTGCTAATGAGGTGTAACAACTTGAACCTATTCATATATGTACTCGGTCCTACATTGTAGCTGACTAACCGACTTTTATTTTTAAATTTACTTATCTTTTAAATATATCTACATGAATTTATGAAAACAGCTGATTAATATTAAGTTATCTTAAATATTAAAAAAAGAAATGTATTCACATTTCAATAGACGAAAATCACTGCATAAACATTTTTATCATTGTAGTATGTCCATGTTATGTTCATGTTGTATGTATAATGTGATCTTAATCAGATATCAAATGATTGACAATTACGTATACAAATATATATATATATATATATATATATATATATATATATATATATATATATATATATATATATATATATATATATATTCTTCTATAAATGTATGCAATGTATATTGTGGTTATTGATTATTAACCATTTACATATTCAAATGTTCAACATTCCATTTTATTGAAACAAGACATTTTCTGTCTTTAATTTTATTACACAGATTGCATTGATAATAGTAATAATATAGATAATTTTTTGAATAAATAATTTACAGGAGGAATTTACGATAAATATGATTTTTAATAGATGAACTCATGAGTCTATGTAGTAAGCTAGATCACCATGGAGAGCCTGGATGGTCGTCCCGCTCTAGTATGGGAACACTCAGCAGAGTGCATCTATGATCCAGCATGCGGGATCCGAACCCAGGACCCTCAGCCTCTCACGCAAACACTTAACCTCAAGATCACTGAGTCGGAATCCAACGGTGTTAACATGTAACTTCTATCGATCCATTCATCTATTGTCTGAGGTAGATACCTGTCTCTACCCGACACGGATCGGACTCCAATAGTCACGGCTTCTCAATAGAACTCCAGGAAATTATCTTGGAGTCAGTCACTATTAAGCATTAACACTACTGAATGCCAGCTCAGTGGTCTAGGGGTTAATCGTTCGTACGCGCGACCGAAGACCCTGAATTGGAATCCCGCGTTCAGGATCGTGAAGATATACTGCTTACGAGTCCCATACTAGGAAAAAACGACCATCTAGTGCTTCCAGGTTTTCAATGGTGGTCTAGCTTACATCGACTCATAAATTCATTTATTAAAATTACTATAACCTTCACAAAACTCCATTCTGAAAATATGGAAAGTTGTAGAAAGATAACTTTGCAATAGAGAACATTTTGTTTACTCAGCATCTAATTTCCACGAATATTAACAAATATCTAAAATTTCTATATTCTGAATCAGTGATCACAACAAAATGGATTGCAAAAGTAAACATCATAATTAAAAAGTATGAACTGATAGTGTGATGATAGATGTACTAGTTGTGATAAGAATGATGAAGGCTTGAGTCAATGTTTCGTAATAGGTGGTAGGTCAATGACTCGGAAAAATAAACATCGAAGTAACATTCATTGAAATCTATTAAAATTACGTAATAAGATGTGTTCTAATAATTAGACAGTAAGGAAAAGAGACGAAAAAGGGCTGAAGAAATATACACAAACATGGATATGTAAAATAGTAACAATAAGTAACATCATTTGCTCTAAGTAAAGGATCAACGTTAAAAATTTCTTATGCAAACAGAGACTAGGGTTTTTAGCTCAAGTTCCTATAAATTTTACTATGTGTTGAAAATGAGGTAGAACTCAACAGGGAAAACAGAAAGTATACGATAAATTACTCAAAATGACTTGGTTTTATTTACTACATTGACACTGCCTACTAAGTATGACAAAACGAAGTTGCTTATTTTCTTTACAGGCCATTTCCCAACTACAAAGGGTAGCGCCTAGTAGCTCATTGACTTTGTTGTCTGGCTGTACTCTCAATAAAGCCTTTCTATAGGAGCAGCTGAATTAGTAGAAAAACATGAATCTGGATAAACTGAGATTATTCTTAAATAAAGGAATTATGACTGACATTAAAACGACTAAGGCCTTTTTTCCTTACCCCTAAAGATAAACGTTATGGGTATGAGCATAAATATTAAGAAAATAGTGTTTGGCCTAAGAGATTTAGAATGCAGAGAAACAAATTATAGCCAGTTGTAACCAAGTTTGAACTTGAATCCAAAATGGTGGTAGAGTGGTTACCAGAACTCATTTTTAGTGAAAAGGTATTCACTGAACAAATTGTTGGCTCTTATATTCATCTTGAAACAGTAATAACCGATCATACTGTGCTTGAAATTACGAAAATTATTGGGCGACAGGTTTGGACAGTGCAAACCGGGAAGGGATGAAGAACTACTAACTAACCCAGGGACGACTACAAGATACAAATGTAAAATAAAGTTAATTCCCTTGATATTGTTTTACTTGAATTTTCCCATTGGTGTTTAGGACTGCAATTGATCAGTCTCTCATATTGGCATATGTGCATACTGTGCGTATTGCCTCGATATTGCCTTAATTTATAAGCATTATAAGCAAGGATGGATAGTGGCTAGCAGTGGAATCCAGGACGCGCGTTTCCTCCTATTCGGGACTCGTCAGCTGGATGTACCTGCATCTCAGAATTGATGTTCACTCCACGACTCGAACCCCGCTTCAAACGCCATCGCGTTATCCACTTAGCTACTGAGACCTGATAGCCACTTGCTGGTGCAATGGGGTGAAGTTTAATTCACTTGATATTGTTTTACCTGAATCTTCCCATTGATGTTTAGGACTGCAATTGATCAGTCTCTTCTTGGCATATGTGCGTTTGAAGCGGACGGTACTGGGTTCGAGTCCCAGAGTGAACATCAATTCTGAGATGCAGGTACATCCAGCTGACGAGTCCCAAATAGGACGGAACGCGCGTCCTGGATTCCACTGCTAGCCACGATCCATCTTTATAAAATAAAGTTGTTTTAATATTACTCAGTGCCATGAAACTGAAATACTTTATTATTCAACGTAGTAAGTACACAGAAAATTTGATTACTGGAAGTCCACAGATATTAAGAACACAATGAAACATGGAACTAACTTATGATCAAAGATGGATAGTGGCATGCGAACTCCCACTTTCTCAAACCTTATTCAATCTACGTGAAAACCTAAATGTGAGCTCTGTGTCAGACATGCTAGTAATCATTATCTCACGATTCGATTACCATCGAAGCAAATATATCTAGAAAGCCGCTACAATGATAATAATTAATAATCCGTAAATTACCGAGGTTTGTGACTGGTGGATTCCAGCTATGTTGAACCTGAATTAATTGCCCAAGAATGGTATCAGATGACTGTCACCCTACATCATGAACTGAATGAAACTGGGAATCTAAACCTCAGAATACTGACTCGAAGATATCGTTCTCACAGAGAAACCTGAAGGTCACGTACTTTGTCTAAGGAGTCCCGAACTAAGACAAAACGATTACAGTGTCCCTTAGTTTGTGTTGCACTCCAGCCAGTCTAATAAGTTAAGGAGGAATAACTTCAAAATGAACATCACATAGATATTTTGTCACATATATAAGTTTCAATAGTTGAAATCATGAGTCAATTAAAGCTAGACTACCATGGAAAACCTATAAGCACTGGACGGCCGTCTAGTCCTAGTATGGGAGTCGGCCGTTGGATGCCGGCTCAGTGGTCTAGTGCTTAATCGCTCGCGCGCGAGACCGATAGGTCCTGGGTTCAAACCTCGTGGGGGTCGGGATCGTGGATGCGCACTGCTGAGGAGTCCCATACTAGGACGAAACGGTCATCCAGTGCTTCCATGTTCTCCGTGATGGTCTAGCTTCAATTGACTCATGATTTCAACGATTGAAATTTACTAAAATCTCCAAAAAACCCCTTCTCACATATATAAGTGATTACATAATGTTCTCTATTTGATTCAAATAGTCGCCTAGTGATTTGACATGCATTATTTTATTGTAAAATAACTAGTTTTCAGTAAATCTATTCTTTTAATGCACAAATTATAGGTGACAAACCAACGAAAGGAAGTTGACTGAGAACTTTAAGAAAACAAGTCACTAAAACTAGTTATTACTTAAAAGGTTGTTCTAAATCTGTGAATTGTTTGACGATTCGTGAGTTAGGTCAAAATGATGAAAAAAACTATTTTAGTTGAGAAACGGAACGGAGAATATTTACGCCGCTAATAAGCATCTTAAAAACTTGCAATAGTAGTTTTAAATAATCTAAATCAAGTTTCAGTTACTATCGAAATAAAATAAATATCATCATATTGATGAAAACTTACAAAACGAACCTTAAATTTGTGACTAACGTAAATCCGCGGTCAAATTTTTTATACCTCTCTTAGAAATCAATCATGCTGTGGTGGATTAAGAAGTGTTGTACTTCAGTTGTATTCATTTCGAAAATGACAGACATAGAAGTTCATATTGAGAACATGTATACGTTCATAAAACTATCAGTACATTCATATTGTGAAGATAAATTGAATGACTTACAGTCACATTGGCTGACTGATGTTATGAATGAAATTCTCATTAAACTTAGAAGTTTTAGATAATAGTTTTTTCAAATGAGTTTGTTGAAAATCATTTTAATTTATAAGTAGTATTTATCGCATATTGAGCTTATTTAATGTAGTAATGAGAACCAGGGAAGACTGAAAACTGTATCTTCTTCAGAAGCCAGATCGTGAGAGTGAACTAGTAAAAAGACTAATATTAGAATGAGAAAGCTTCTGATTTTCAATAGTAAGTAAACAAAGGTCAATCTGTGACGAATCCCACCTGTAAATAATACTTTGGAATTACTACGGACAAAATTCATTGATTCACACTTGCAAACCTTGGCAATTTGTAACTGAGAGCA